TTTCCGACCTGCACCGCACTGCTACGTGGGTGTCGCTTTGTGGCGGGATACTGGTGGGTGCAGTCGAATAAAGCTAATTTTCGATGCTGGGTATCCGGAACATATAGCGGCAGAGATCCCCACCGGAGTCGTAAGTAAGACTCCGGGAGGAGACTGGGCCGGCCATTTCGTTTCTGCGCGGGCCTCGGTTTCCTCCTCGGGGTGCGCCGATGTGATCGGCTGCAGGCACGGCGGCGACGGTCATCACGGAGGCTGCTGGGCGTCGTCGACATTGTGCTTCGATGCGGCAGGCCATGTCCAGAGCCTCGGTCAGCGATCGTGGATTGCTGCTGATGATAGGGACCTGGTATCCGGTCCCCCGGATCCCGTCGATGAAGCGTTGCACTATGATGCTGTTGTAAGTCGCGGGCGGTAACTCGCCCAGGACGCATCTCCCTAAACGCTCCAGCTCCATTGCGAAGTCCTCGAAGGACACTCGTGGTCCTTGCATCCGATTATGAAAGGCGTGATATCCGGCATGCTTGCCGACCGTGAAATATTCGCGCATGCCGGCTGTTACGGCGTCATACGAGCGAAGAGTGGCCTCTGGGAGGGTGGCGTGCAAGCGCTGGGCACGCCCCCGAAGGCTTGTATACAGCTTCCGGCACCTCTTCCTCTTTGACCAGTGGTATTCCTCGCCCATGTCGTCTAAAAGGCGCTGAAATTCCGGCCAGGGACGGGTGCAGTCGAAGACGGGCGGTAGTTCTGCGTCCGACACCTCCAAAATTCCCCAATGTGAGGTTAGGTCGCACGCTGTAGGCGGCGCAGAGATTGGTGCTGCACCTGGCCCGGTATCCATCCCTCGATGAAACACCTGCCGCGCCTGTCCGGAGTCCACGTTCGATGCCTCAACGACGCGCGGGGTCGTTGCAGAATGTCGATCGTCCCCGGCTGACGGCATGCTACCACAACGGAGAGCCTGCTGGCTGCCGTTGCTTTCAGAACGGTTACCCAGCATAGTCCTCTCAAAAGTCGCAAACTTCTTGGAGCGACTGATCCGCGTCCACTTTCTGCTCCATTCGCCGGAACGAGCGATCCAGTTCTCAAAGGACCCAAAACAGTTTTATAATTTCGTTAACACTAAACGTAAGCCTAAAACAAATCCTTCCTCGCTTTTATTAGAAAATACTACCGCAAATAATGATCAGGCAATAGCCGATCTTTTTTCGCAGTTTTTTCAAACAACCTATTCAAGCTCTTCGTATCTACACCAGACTTATTCCTACGACATACCCAAATCAAACTTAATTTACTGTCCTAGCCGAAACGAAAGCTCTCTCCTGTTAGATCTCCATCGTGTCAAGGCAGTTTATTCGGTCCCGACGGAATTCCTGGCTGTGTGCTCAGGTATTGTGCCGACGCCCTGTGCTATCCCCTTCTGAAATTGTTTACCTTGTCCTTAGAAACCTCCCACTTTCCCATTATTTGGAAGGAATCGTTTATTATTCCTCTCCACAAAAAAGGTAGCAAACTGGATGCCAGCAATTATAGAGGAATCTCTAAGTTGTCGGCCATCCCTAAATTATTTGAAAACGTTATCACCCCTCACTTACAGCACCTTTGTAGATCGGATATTTCTCTATGTCAACATGGTTTTATTAAGCGAAGATCAACAACAAGAAATCTTTTGGAGCTCTCTTCTTATATTATAAAGGGCTTCCATAATAATTGTCAGACAGATGTAATCTATACTGATTTCAGTAACGCATTTGACTCTGTTAACCATTCTCTCCTCGTTAGAAAACTCGATTCAATGGGTTTTCCACGTGATCTTCTTAATTGGATCTCAAGTTATTTGAATGGCAGGACGCAAAAGGTCCTCTTTAAGAATAATTTATCCAATGTTCTAAGGGTCACATCTGGCCTCCCGCAACGAAGCCATTTGGGACCCTTATTGTTTACATTATTTATAAATGACCTGCCCAAAGTCTTGACTAACTACAGAGTGCTTATGTACGCGGATGACGTCAAGCTTTGCGTGCAATACAATGACGTTGCCTACCAGTCGGATTTACAAACAGATCTTAATCATTTTCAAACTTGGTGCCGTGTAAACTTATTCAACTTAAATGGCTCGAAATGCAAGCTAATGACATTCTCTCGTGTCGTTCCTAAGCTTGCTACTTACACGCTATACTGCTGCTCTTTGGAAAGAATTAATTCTGTTGACGATTTGGGCGTCCGCCTGGACCCAAAAACTTGACTTTATTGATCATATTTCGACTATGGTGAATAGAGCCAGGGGTGTGCTTGGATTTATTAAACGGTGGTCGAAGGAATTCAATGACCCCTATGTTACTAAATCCTTATATACTTCCTTAGTTCGTTCTATCCTAGAATATGGATGCTGCGTTTGGAGCCCTCAGTACGGCATCCATAGTAAACGCATTGAGTCGGTTCAAAAGAACTTTTTACTTTTCGCTCTACGCGGTTTAAATTGGGATGCAAACCAAAGATTACCTTCCTACTCTAGTAGACTCCTATTAATAAACTTGCCGTCCTTAGCCAATCGTAGAACAATGCTAGGGATAACCTTTATTTTTAACCTTATACATGGTGATGTGGAAAGTGCTGACTTGTTAAGTCAGCTTAATTTCCATGTACCATGTAGAACTACTAGATCCTATATCCCATTAGTGTTGCGCCACTGTAGAACCTCCTTTGAACTGCATGAACCTTTTAGAGTGTTATGTGCAAATTATAATGATTTGTACACACTAATCTCTAACGTAAATACGATTCTCAAATTAAAATCTTTAATACTAACACACTTAGTAAGCGTGGAAGATAACAATCTGGCAGCACACCAGTAGTCAATTTCCTCGTATTCTGTCCTATATTTTCCATTGCGCCTACTAACACCAAGCCCAAACAGGCACGTGCCTGGTGTCATACGGGCCACTTAAATGTACTGACCTTAGTGCATCAACGTCCAAGAGAACATAATGCCGTTTGGCATGACCAACTCGCCAGCCACCTTTGAGCGATTGATGGACACATTATTCTCCGGTTCTACACGGAAATTCACCCTGGTTTATCTCGACGACATCATCGTACACTTTCGTACCGCCGAGCAACACCTGGGCCACATTGTTAGCCGCAAAGGCTTACGAGCGTGCCAAGAGAAGGTTCGAAAAGTCGGATTGGATTGGACCCGCCACCGTCGTCCAGCGTCACTCTGACTGAGTGTACGAGATCCGCTCACCGAGGAAGCGTACCACTAGGACCGTTCATGTCAACCGCCTGTCACCATATCGGGACCCGAATCCCGAATTACTCGGCAAGGAGGCTCGAGTCTGAGAGGGGGGTAATGTAACGAAAACCGCCAGATTCGAAGAGTCCACTATATTTATAGCCGTTGGCAACGAGAGAAACCGCGAAATCCCTTATAGGCGCAATTATGAGAGCTTTTGACAGCCAGGATGCCTAATCTCTCTAAGCGCTCTCGATTTCCTTCTCTTCTTCTTACGGACGTGTCCGGAAAAGCACGCGTCTCTGATCACTAATAAAGAAATGCTAAGTAATAACCACCTTTCCACATGGGGCCAAGTGTAGATTTGGACGAGTGAGTGGGTCAGATCGGGTTCTAGGCAGCCACACCTATTAAAAAGTTCCGCTCGGCTTTCCGTAGTGAACTCTGCCTGTGGCCCAACCACGACAGAAATTCGTTACAATATAGTAGTCCGATTTTCATAACATTTTACACAAAATTTCAAAGTAACATAAAATGGCTATATCTCCAATTTGATGAAAATCTGCTGAAAACTGAAAACGGTCTAATTTTTAATTGTATTAAGTTCTCGATCGTTCCTATGGGAGCTATATGATACAATTGTCCGATTTTCATAAAATTGTACACAAAATTATAGAATAAAATGAAATGGCTATAAGTCAAATTTTATGAAAATCTGCTGAAAACTGACAACGTTATAATTTTTAATTGTATTAATTTCTCGATTGTTCCTATGTGAGCTATATGATATTGTAATCCGATTTTCATCTTAAATTATCTTAATCTTAATAATCTTAAATTTGATGAAAGTCAGCTGAAAACTAAAAAAGTTACAATTTTTAATTGTATTAATTTCTCGATCGATCCCATGAAAGTTATATGATATAGTCATCAGATTTTCATAAAATTGTACACAAAATTGTAGAATACTATGAAATGGCTATACCTAAAATTTGCTAAAAATTGTTAAAATATTAAAAAGTCATAATTTTTAATTGTATTAATTTCTCGATCGTTCCTATGAATTTTCTATGATATAGTAGTCCGATTTTTATACAAATTAACAATGGAGAATAATGTAAAATGGCTATATATTAAATTTTATCAAATTCTGTTGAAAACTGAAAATTTTATAATTTTTTTTTTAATTTTCCCATCATTCCTATGGCAGCTATATGATATAGTCGTCCGATCCGGCCCGTTCCGACATATATAAGAGTGAGAGTAAATAACTACAAAGTTTCATTCAGATAGCTTCAAAACTGAGAGACTAGTTCGCGTAAAATCGGATAGACGGACAAACGGACATGGCTAGATCGACTCGGCTTTTGATGCTGATCAAGAATATATATACTTTATATGGTCGGAGGTGCCTCCTTCACTGCGTTGAAAACTTCTGACTGAAATTATAATACCCATAAAAATGTATATTATTTGCATCTTTCCACATACATTTTTCTGTAGGTGTAAACATACATTGATTTATTCTTATCCAAACAAGAGGAGGATGTTCTTATCGGTAGCGACTTCCCTTAAAGCAAAAAGAATTTCAAAATAACTACAATGCTCCAATTCAAATGTTGAAGCCGCCCTCATATCTAATATATTAAATACATTCAGAAACTGGTACGTCTTAGGTTTTGTTCAGTTTTTAAACGGTATTTGACTCTAGCGTTTCGCCTAAATACTTTCTTTGTAAAATTTTGGTGATTCATAAACTTTGGTTTTTTTTAATATGAAAAGGTTTATCATGATATTGCTCACATTTGTAAGTTATCTCTAGAATATTCAAATATATAAATACTGAAAACATTAATTAATTAAGAGCATCAATTGCTCTGCAGCTCAAAAGCCACCAATAATTGAGCCGAATGAGAAACTGGAACAGGATGGCTTTAGTTGCCCAAAAAGCTGTGTGTGTCAATATGCCGCCTTCGAAAAATTGCCAATTGTTCGTTGGGTTAAATATTATAAAGCAAAGGGTGGTAATAACGAAAACTTCACAAAACTGGCCACATGCCTTCTGCAGCCAAAAGGTGAACCGAAAACACTATTGGATTCACTTCCTGCCAATTTGCAAGCTTTGATTTTATTGTACACAGGGGGCAACAAAGAAAATCAACTGTCAGGTAAAAAACTAGATTCCAGTTAGTATACGTACCAATAAACTCTTTTAACAGTAAACGCTAGCGACTTTCGAAAACTTAAACAGTTAACATCATTGGAGTTCCGAGGATCGGGAGCCACTATGATCATTGACGAGCCGATGGATTTCTTGATGCATGCCAATTTTGAGGAGATTCAGTTGCAGGCCAGCGAAGTGCTTCAACGTCCCAAATTCGCAAAGCTACCCAGGGAAGATTACGACTACAAGCCGCCAAGCGAACTCCTTTCGCATAACGACAACCAAAAATATTCGCTTCAATTTATAAATTCTTCCGCAGAAATAATAACTTATGAGCAGCACATTCAACGACTAAAACAGACGCGGATGCCATGTTTCTACGGATGGTCACGTTTAGAAGTATTACGCATTCACAATTGCGATCTGAATGAGCTCCATTGGCAAATGTTTGATGGGCTGGCCCAGTTGAGACACTTAAGTCTGGAGAGGAATAACATCCGAGAGCTACCGCCATTTGTGTTTTCAGGGGCTTTGCAATTGAAAAGTATCTCCTTGGCCCACAATTCAGTGGAACGATTGCACTATTTGGGTTTAGCAGGATTACTTCAGTTGGAGACACTTAATCTGTCTGAAAACCAGCTAGATCGCTTGAGTGAACTAAGCTTTCCGCCCCTTCCCAAATTACTAATAGCCGACTTGCAAGGCAATCCATTGAAACACATTTTACCGGCTACATTTTGGGTGATGAACGCAACAAGAGAGCTCTTTATAGGAAGTGATAAAGCAGCTCTAAATCTTCGCACTTGGAACATTTACGGGCAATTCGATTCGCTCCATAACCTAAAAACGCTTAAGCTAGCCAATGTTACCACGGAAGCATTGGAGAACGGCGTATTCATGGTAAACATACCTTTTTGATCGCAAAATCATCCATCTCATCAGTGAATAATTTTTGCAGGGTCTTCAAAACTTAGAATTTCTTACATTACGTGGCACGATCGACAGTCTACAATTTGATGCGTTCGCTGGGTTAAATATGTTAAAGGATCTAGACATAAGTCACTGCATGCTTCGGGAGCTATCCATGGACTCACTAGTGGGCTTGAAACGGCTGCAGCTGCTCAACTTAAGTCACAATAATCTCACAAGTGTTCCGCCAGGTTTACTGGATGATCACGTTGAGCTGCAAGAGGTTCACCTACAAGGAAACCAACTAACATTTTTACCTCTGCAATTTTTTAACTTGCCACGCGTTAGGGTTGTTCGCCTTGATCAAAATCCATGGCAGTGTACATGCCAGATGAGCAGTTGGGTGGCACACTTAACGAATGTAATGCGTGGACCTATGAAAAAGTTATGCATCAAAGGCAACGATAACATTCTTTTATGTAGAAATGTAACTACATATAACATAGACAAAAGCCTAGCACCACGATGCGCCAATTATAACGGACGCAGTGTTTACTACGTTCTTCGAAGGCAGATAAACTGTGGTGCCATGAAAATCATTCAACCTTTTTATCAGGGCGCAGGATTGCCATACTGGCAAAAAGTACTACTGCAAGAAATAAATTTGTGGCCAAGGAAGCGAAATCCACAAAATATTTCAAATAAAAAACAAACCAATAGTCTCGAGTTTGTTATACGAAAAGATGAACTGCTGTCCAACCCTCAGCCGTCTCAATCAAAAATATTCAATAATATTTAAGATATTTATATTTTTGTACGATTAAGGCCTCAGTATCTTCAGCCTTATGTAAGTCACCCTGTTGGTAATGTTCTAATTCTAGATATTTAAGTTAATGTTTATTTTCCTGAAATTTAGAAACAAAAAACAAAGTAACGATGACACATTCAACTTAAAAAACGTTTATAGCATTTTGTGATGATTAATATTAACCAAAAATAAATTGCATATTATTTAACGTTTATTATTTGGCACGCAGGTCTTTAGTTTCATGGCTGAATACTTTGCAGCTTTGTGCATTTCACGAACATAGCTAAATGTGTTAAAATAATGATAACCCGCCCCAATTTATCTCACCTTCTTAAGTTTGATACCATTTAAAAACAAGAAAGGAAGCTAACCTCCGCACGCCGAAGTTAATATACCATTGCAAATAGAACTTCGATGACTAGGAATCCATACAATATAAATTATATATATTTGTGTTAAAAAACAATGAAGTAATACCTGCTTTCATTTTATTCACCTATACATATTTTATTTGCAGTTTTACATTCACAGATTTGCATTTTGGCTCCACATCTAACGATCGTTTGTATGGCACCTATATGATATAGTCGTCCGATTTTCATAAAATCTACACAAAATAAATATGAAATGGTTATATCTCGAATTTGATTAAATTCTGTTGAAAACTGAAAGTTTTATAATTTTTTTTTTTAATTTTCCCATCATTCCTATGGCAGCTATATGATATAGTCGTCCGATCCGGCCCGTTCCGACATATATAAGAGTGAGAGTAAATAACTACAAAGTTTCATTTAGATAGCTTCAAAGCTGAGAGACTAGTTTGCGTATATGGACAGACGGACAGACGGACATGGCTAGATTGACTCGGCTGCTGATGCTGATCAAGAATATATATTCTTTATATGGTCGGAGGTGCCTCCGTCACTGCGTTGAAAACTTCTGCCTGAAATTATAATACCCTGCAAGGGTATAAAAAATAACTTCGGGCTCATTTCTACTTTGATAGCTCGAGAAAGCGAATTTTCCTAGATTTAGTGCGTATACAAAAAAGTTGATAAATTTAAAAAAAAAATTTATAATAATAAAAAAAACCTTTTACATAAATTATGTCAATGCAAATATATTTGAAATCGTACTTTAGACGTTTAGAAGTTACAAGGTTTTAGGTGTTTTACCACTTAACTAGCGCTAAATACGAGAATATCAATCTATATATTTATGATACTGAGTGAAGAGACTCGTTTTGAAATCTTTGCTACGTTCTTGCCAGAAAACGTGGGAATTTTTCCCTCAACCGGTGGGGAAGAGGTATTTTTATACCCTTGCAGGGTAATTTAATATCCCTTCAGTACCAAAATTCCTTTCCTGTCTGATTTCTGGTGTCGTGTTGTCGAAAAACAAACACAAATCTCTTGGGTTTCGGTAAGAGAACTCCGAAACAAAGTTGGCAATAAAAATTCTACCTGTGTTCGGCTACTGCCGATGTTCTGACTTCATATTCGTTGTTGTTTTCGAAGGGATTCGGAGCAGCGGTTCCGAAATTAAAGTGAGATGATGAAAATATTATTTACCGAAAAAAAAAGAATCGTTGTTGGAATAGATTTTTTCGCAGCTCTAATGACACCTGAAGTATTCACAAGTGTTTTGCATTGTAACTTATTAAATATTGTTAAATGGTAATTGACTTATTTGTATTCAGTTAAAAAAATTAATTTCCAGAATTGCCTTTGAACCTGAATTTTTTTTAATCTAGACGGTGTGAACGGGAAGGCCATTATATTTCCAGAATTTGTTTTCTGTCAAATTGGTGTGTATATTTTTGGAAAATATTGTCCATTTGATTCTAACATACATATGTATTTTAATTATAGATTGACGAGGCAAGAGCCGGAAGGAAAGACCCGTAACATACGTTAAGGGGAAATGCAAGAAGTTGAGCTAAGAAAAATTGTGGTAATCATTGAATAAATTATAAAGTTTTATAAATAAATAAAAAAATAAATTATAAATTGCGCCAGATATTTACTATTGGGCGGGGTGTAACGAATCGCTACACTCACAAACGAATATTACAGGCAAGTTGTTAGCTCGAGATATTTTTCCGGCTTCGGCTCGTCGGCTACGGGAGTGATGGTCTTGCTCGGATCTCGGGTTGCCTTCACATAAATTTAAACATAAATGAATGCGTGCAACAACAAGCTTATACCGGTACATAGATGCAGACAACACACAAATAAAAGTTAAGGAAAAATTTATCTCTCTTTGGTTTATTTGCCCCTTCTCAGCACTCCTGGTGTTCTGGAGGCTCTAGTTTGCCCACCCTTCCTATGGTCCCTCCCATCCTCAGCGCTATATAGCTTGAGCGACCCCTTTTACAAGTGCTACCCTATATTACAAGGCAAGCTTCGGCAAATCCTCTACAATTTAAAACATTATAATAATTTTATTTAAAACTAGAAAGGTATAAAATCATTCCTTAAAATAGAGAACGTAGATAGGCAATTAAACATTAAAACTTAACATACAAGTAATAAATAGGTATACGCCCTTGAACTCGATTTCGGAAATTAATAAGGAATAATGGCAAAGGCAATTTAAGGCAAGTCGAAGGAAGATATTATATCTCGCTTTCCCTGCTTACGTTAACTAAAAATCAACATACATGTTGCAACAACAAAAATAACAAAAAAAAGCTCTCATCTTTAACAGCCTTCCTTGAATTTATTTAAATCATAACCGCAACACTCACCATTTTTATTTCTCCACCGATGAAAGCGCTTTCCGCGGAAGATAGCTGAAAATTTGGAGTAAGCGTCACATGCAAAAAAAGAGAAACTCACATCCAATGGGGACGCCCTAAAAGAGAATATGAAGATCGGGAGAAAACTGCAAGAAAACGAAGCATTCGGCCCGCGCTATTTAATTTGATTTTGTTCTACTAATTTGACAGGAATGCAACGAATTAATATTTCTCTTTGCCGCACATTAATCGTTACCCATACATAGGTTCATTTTCCATTATTCTTTGCCGTACTTTTTCCACAATTAACCTAACTTATAATTTCTATTCTCTCTTACACTAGTTTTTCAATATTTTTTTTTTTACTAATGCCTGACTAAATTCGGGGCTCGAAAAATCCCTTTCTCCACAATTATTCGTCGCGATGGGGCATGGGGCTCAAGTTAACCATACTTTGGCGAGTTGAAAACGCCCAAACAAATTACATGAGACTGAGTGTAATGCTTTGCTGAAATCTACACCTATGCCGACTCTAGCATAAAAGCTCGTACGGCTGCTAGCGAATCTTCTGCTTAGTTGTGCTCTCTAGAGCTGCTAAGGGGGACAAAGGTCGATTTACAACCATCGGCAACTAATTATTCATTAACCGCATAAATCTAAAAAAGAATATTTTCCCTAGCTCTGCTGAGCGTAACGACAGGGAATGTCCTTGGGCAATCCAAGAAGCTTGTTGCGCCGGCGTCGTTTCTCAGCCTGCCCTTCTTCTCTTCGTCGGGGCCGTCGAGCGCTACAAACTCCTGGAAGATGACGCAGGAAAAGTGTCGGTAACCCAATGTGAAAGTGGGAGACCGTTAACAAATGCTTCTGTTGCTCACTCACCCGATCTTTAGTGCCCTAGCCGACCTACGCTTGCTACAATGGCCACGCAGCCCTTCGACATTTGATCGACCAACAGATGGCGCTAATAAAAGTATCTTCTGCCGAGCAAGCGCTACAGGGGGTTCCGGTGATCTACATCTTTTCCTCTGGGATTCGTATCTGATTTTACTCTAAATTCCCCTACGATTACTTTGTGTTTCCACCTGGTATTGCTCTAAGAGTCCTATCTGATTCTATTCTGAATTCCCCTACGATTACTGTTTGATTCCGTCTCGAATTCTTGGCTGATTCCGTTCAGAATCCGTTACAAAATTCCCTTCTGATTCAGGGAGGAATTCGTGACAAAATTCACGACAAATTCCTAGCAGAATTCCTAATTGATTTCCGGATAATTCTCCGAACTCAGGTTTTCTAACGCCTACTGTATGAAAATTCCTGGATGGCTTGCATGAACATTTCTTAATGATTCAAGATTGAGACCTCTCCAATCCAACCTGATTCAGAGTCCGAGTCCGTCTGTCCATTTCTACGCAAGCTAGTCTCTCAGTTTTAAAGCTATCTGAATGAACTTTGCAGTTAGTTTTCTATATACTCTCACTCGTATATAAGACGGAACGGGTCCGATCGGACGCCTATATTAAATAGTTGCAATAGGAACAATCGAGAAATTAATACAATTCAAAATTATAAATTTTTGAGTTTTCAATCATTCTGTAAATATAAGAAGTATAGGAAGACTGTACAATTCAAATTTATAACCTTTTCATAGGAAGTATATGTGACTGTAATAAAAGTAGCTATTACTTCGTCGTTTTTTAACACAAATATATATGTTATATTGTTTTATTTATGATCGAATTGCAATATACAAGGGTATACAAACTTCGTTTCTTATAGTAAATTTATTTCGTTTTAATTGACACCTTAAGAATATTGTCAAAACTTTACACCAATCATATAAAAGCTTACGATATTATAGGTTCAACAAAGGTTATTTGGTATTCAATGTATGTATAAGCATCAAAAAGTTTAGTGAAGTTACTAGGTGCTCCAGTACTGGCATCACTAGCAGATGCCTCCAAGAGGACGCCAGCTGAACTACTTGCCTTCGCAAAAACAACCGCGACCCTAAAGGACTTCAACACCGCGAAAGATTCTCCAGGTCCATGTGATAACAACGTCCGGATAAAGGCCATACTGGCCTATGGTTGGCCCCCTCAGGAGGACCGTCCGGTTCAACCTAACCTAACTTAACTAAGACTGAAAGTTATGTTCGTTTTGGGCATGTTGTAAGAAAAAGTCTAATTTGAATATATATTTTTTTAGAACTTTCCAATTAGATCGGCAATTTTAAAACCATTTTTCACAGTAGAATTTTCAATTGAAAGAGAGAAAGGAATTTCTTTTATGATTAACAATGGTGAGGATCCTGTGAGAACTGTACCCTTCAACGAGTCAATTAGTTTACGTAACACTGCGTATTCAGCACGGTAACGTTTTACCGAGCAGATAAATAAGAAGAAAGGGAGGTGTGAGAACCGGTGTGTTTGAATTTATCAAACAGA